AATAATAGAATTTTTTTAGTAATTTTTAAGCAATTAAGCTCACATTATTCTAACTTCGAAGGGTTTAATGTAAGGTGAGTTCTTGATAATCACTGCTTTCGTAATATGATCATCCAACAAAAGTTGTATGTCATCGACGCTGGCGATAACATAAGTGCCAGTGTCTTTGTAAAGATTTACTGTGAAGATTAGATCGATCCAGTCCAGCTGCATCTTGTCCATGCTTTTCTCTAGAGTGTTTTCTTTTGTAGCGGCTTCGGAGATACCTTCAAACTGCGCGATGTAAGGATCCAGACCCATAGCTAGGACCTTGCCTAGCGTTAAATCGACGTCGACTTTGATAGGAATACCCGCTATGGCTGAAATCTGCTCCCAGTGCCGCACTTTTAACCCAGGATTACCCAAGGTCATTATCGTGGGCATCCGATCTTTAAAGTCCTCGATTTTCTCACGTACTGCAGCCGCCAACTTGCGCACGTCCGGCTCCTGAAACGCTTTCTCCAGCTTGTATATAATTCTGAAACATAAAAAATTATTATAAAAATTTTATAATAATATTAAGTTATGTTGTCATTAAATAATTTTTTGTGCCGTAATTAGATTGTTTTTAAGACTTATGCCCAAATAAAAAAGATAAATAATATTATAATTTTCTATAAAATAATTGTCCCCTTATTATCTTCTATTTTAGCAAGATATTATATTTATTATAATTTTTATTATAATATTTTATTTGTCGTTTTGTTATAATTTTATTATATATATTTTTGTTTAAATTACTTTTTATGCCTATAACTTTATACCTGTAATATTGTGTTACTTCGTTATCGATCTCTTCAGGATTATAGCTGCCGATTGTACTATTTATCCATTTGTCATATTTGGCCAAATACTCGCAGATGCTGTCAAAGAGCTTCTTGAACGGTTGCAAACGATCGGCAATTTGTTTTCGCAGAGGATATTGCGTGATCTCCCAGTGGAAGGCAATCTCTTCCTCGTTGAACTTGTAGATCTTGTCCATTGCCGTGATCAGCCGGGTCTCTAAAGTTTGCGCTCTGCGCTGGTATCGAGACACTTCCTCGATGTCGCCCCAATATTGCATCTCCTCCACTTGCTTCGTGTATGAATCCAATTCCTCCTCAAACTTCTGATATCTAACTGTGAAAAAAACGGACCATTCATTCTTCAAAATGTTTATCATTACTGCATAATTGTGGCATTAAAAACTAATTTTGAAAAATGTAAACATATGTAAACATAAAATATTTTCAACAAATTCGCGTTAAAACTTAACTTGATTGATTGATTGTCATTGTAAAAGAATCAATTACTAGATTTTTAGGTGCCCATATTTATATTTTTACAATAAAATATAAAATATATTTATTTTTGTGCAAAAATTCTACGCGCGTTAGAATAGTTTTAATCGTAAGAATAGTTTAAATAGATTAATCTTAATTAAGATTATTCTGTTAAAAAAGAGATTGGAAGATTATCAAATCAACCTTTCAGCGCATCTTGATACTCCTGCATCTTGTTCTCGATGATCACCCGATTGTCCTCGAAGATCTGGGGCATTCTGTGATACCATTGAAAGGCCACGCTGTTGTTACTTATCTCGCTCTCCGTTAGCAACCAATAATCCGACAGAAACGTGATGTGCTCGATCACGTCCAGCAGTCTGAGCTCCAGGCTCTTTAAAGTGACGTCACTGGTAGTTTGAACGAACTTGACGAGTTTCATCAGAGCCGCAGTATTGGGAGGCGGGGTCAGGACTCGCTCGGATATAGCTTCATATTCTGCTATGACACTACAGATACAGTCTTTTAGTCTAAGAGAATTGAACTCTGTATTAACATTATTTCGAGATGGAGAATCGAAAACTAAAATTAACTTTACATAGCATAATGTTAAAGTTATTCTGTGATTAATATTATTATGGGAAAATTATATTCCAAAATTATATGTATTTTATTACAATATATATTAATAGAAATAGAAAGTAAAATAGTTCAAATGTGGAGTTATAATTTTACGCAATTGTTAGGACAATCGTCCTTTCTAGAGACAGTAAAATGTATGATTATTATAAGTTAATTAATCAATATTTATAATTTCAAAGTCTATGCTGTGAAAAAATTTATCATAATGTAAATTAATTCAAAACCAATATAATTATAATATCAAGTTATGAAAAAGCTGAAGCTGTAAAAAATTGAAATTAAAAATTAACAAAAATTTTAATATTTAATTAAAAGCGAGTCTTGAATGCGTAAAATATATATTTGATATTCACTTCTTCGTCGTATTCTGATATCGATCAACAAGGTAAGAAACTAGAAGTCCTTTCAGATGTTCGATGTTCTCCACCATGGTCCTGACGAAGGGCGCGTGAGATACTTCGAAGAATCCTGCGAAAATTGTTCTCTCAATCTCAATCGGTATTCTTCGGGCGAGATCGTGATACAGCTTAATTTTCTCTTCGTACTCGTCTAACTTCTTCTTTTCGAATCGCAAAAAAGCTTCCACCCGGTTAAGCTCCTCATCGTTGTAAAAGTGCATGTATCTATAAAAAAGAAATACTATGTTATCAAGTAATTTATTATAATTGCATGCAACAATAGGATGGATAAGCACTTTCTTAATTCCGCCATCTTTCGCTCCGGGATTATTCTTTCGTAATCGATCAACTGATTTATCTGTCTCTTGAGCTGTTCTATAATGGGCTGTGATATCTGCGGCTGAAGTGAAGTGCATACAAGTATTTATATAATAAGAATTTAAAAGAAAAGTATTTTATTACTTACTACAAATTATTACGTAAGAATTAAAATTATATATACGTGTATAAATTTATTTTTACACAATAATTCATAAATTTATTTCTTATCAATAACTCGTAATTTATTTATTATATATATATATATATATATATATATATATAATAAATTAATACTAATAATTAATTAATTATTATTATTTACATACAACATATCTTAATTATATATTATATAACAATTACTTAAAAGATAGGAATAATTTTGTTCTACGATTTTTATTTTATGGCTTTAAAATAGAAAGTGGACTCTCTTGGTCCTTAATATTTTATAATGCCAATGAAACCTTGAGAAATTCTGGAGGTCCCGCCCAGTCGAGGTAAAGCTGCGTCTCCAATCTTTCAAAATTCCTCACGGCGTTGCATATCGCCTCGAGAATATTGAAAAGCGATTTCTTAAATTTGTCAAAGGATGGCTCAAAAGTGAGATCCTTGGAGACCACGACGATGCTCATCTTAAAGCGGCAAGCTACAGGCTGAGGAAAAATATAATAAGAATAGTGCTCTCTTTCTCTCTATCTCTCTATCTCTTTGAGATGTTGACTCAATAAAGTCAGAAATAGAAATCCTAAAAATTAATTTATAATGATATTTATTGTTACTTAATCGCATAAAAACAAAAGGGAAATAAAAAACATAAGAATTAAAAATCTAGAGTCTAAGAAAAATTATTTTATTTATAAGTATTATTCAATCAATCGCTTATTCTGATTCTCTTATAAATATGACAGTAATTTTTTCCTACTATCCTTTATTATTGTTGCTTTCTATTATTTTTTATTTTTAAACTTTAAATTGATTGTCATAAAACATCCGGGTTACGCGTGCGATAGGGGCTCAAGGCGAGCTCAAACGAGCGGACGAGCCTTGAAAAGTCTTGATAAGCAGAAATTGATGGAAATTGTGTCTCGGTGCGTTCCAATAATGCGCGACAGCGAATAAACGAAGGAAGGAAACGCACGCCGAACGCGTGCGTGTTTCCTAGTCTGGAAATGATTTCATGTCGATCGATCGCGGGTGGTGAATATATATATTTCACCTTGCCGTCCGCGACATAATTAACGAAATCCCGCAAAGAGCGTTTGCAAGCTTTTAAAAGTTGCGATTCCATCAGCTTGCCGGCACAATCGAAAAATCGTTTAAATTCCTTGCGTTGCAATAGGCTGGGCACCATCTTCTTCCTATTGTTCTGCAAAAGGATGAGATAAGAAATCAGGAAAAATTAAGATATTTCTCATCGCTAAGCGCTTTTCGCCTTTAAACGGATTTATCATGCGGATAACATGAACAATCAACAGAATAAAAAAATTAAACTTACCTATAATAAAAAATTAAACTTACCTGTAAAATTATTTTAATTTATCAGTATTTTTAGCTATCATATACATAAAATTATGCATAAATATAAGTAAGAAATAAATAGAGTAAATTAATAATTTCAAAAAATAAAGAAAGAAATAAAAAATACAACACAATGAAGCAAGATGAATTGTCAATTTTCATTAACTGATGATAATACTGATTCCAATTCTTTTAATACAATGCTTCTTTTATCGGTATCATTAATATTATTCTTTTTCAACTATTTTACCACAAGAAATATCTCTTGAATTCCGCTATACCAGACTTTCTTCAAAATTCGCCGGTTAGCAATGATCTGATGAGTGATTAAGGTATGAAAATTCGTTAGGTCCCAGCTTTCTTTGTGGGCGATGACATGCTCCAAATTGATCAGCCGAAATTGACTAAAAGAATTGACATTTCTTGCTAAAATTAGTTATGGTAAGGACAGCGCGAATTAGGCGCAAATAAGTATTCGCAATTTGGATCGTTACCTGTAATCACGAACCCACTGCTCCAAAGTCATTCGCATGCACGGATTTATTAAATATAGATCAGCGTGCAGAACTTTGCGACAATGTTCTACATGTTCTCGCAAGTCCAATTGAATGTATCGTTCGTGGATTACGTCAAACTGCAAGATAAAATCAGTAGAAATTAAGTCGTTGATGGCAAGAATTTTAGTTATAACTTTATAAATTATAAAACGAACGTTTATTAATAAAATAAAAAGAAGAAACTTTATTTAATGCTTTGTTATTAATATATTTTGTTTGTGATTACACGAGATAAAACAATTTTGTCACTAAATATCTCAAAACTGAGATTTGTATTTTAATTTAAAAATTTATATGTAAAAAGAATTTAGAATATAAATATTTTATATTAGAAAGTAATGCAACACCTTTTTGTATAGAAAATTATCAATAAAACATTAATTAAAGTATATTCAGTTATCTTTGATTTAATTTAATTTTTAAATTAATAAGAAAATTTGTAAAATATGTATAATTTCATCTTTTTAGTTTCTCTGAAGCCAACCTTTGAAGGATGTTCCTCGGAAGGATGTGTGAGCGCGAATTTAACAATGGCCTTCTTTATGTTCTTCGTGAAGTCCTCTTTGATTTCGAGCATCAAATTATTGGCAAAATCGGGAAATTTATCGCGTAAGATACCAGGAACCAGATTGAGAATTGCCTCGATGAAGACGTCAATGCTCGCCGTGTGAATTGTATCAACTCCGTTGCAAAGATAATAATAATATCTATTGACATCTTTATCGTCACTCAAATCCCAATCCTTTTCCGGTAGTTCAGGTTTCACTATCAAGCCCACCAGAAATCTAAAAAATTTATTTAAAGCTTCAAATTTCTCCCGAAAGCAAATATCATTTATTATCATCATAATGCTAATCTGCATCTTTATCAAAAATTAATCGTCCTATTTTGATTTATGTTATAAATAAATCTAGTGTTTATTCTTTAGTATACTTATACATATAAAATTTTATAATTTAACGATAATTTTATATTAATTGACATACATTTGCGATAATTGAAACCTAATTGAACCTTTAGTTCTATCATGATTGATGAAAATTTATATTTTAATTATTAATTTTAATTGTTAAATAAATTCAAAATGATTTAAAGATACGATTTAAAAAGTTAAAAAGTTTAGATTTCCCTTTTGCGCCTTTAGTACCTGCGAAAATTTTCCTCATGAAGGCGTTTCGCTGTGTAAGGGCTATTACGAAATTTTTGCATTTTTTTCTGCCCCTTAATTGGCGCTTCTTCTTTCCTTTTACATCTTTTGGGAGTTATTAAGTCTGACGGCAAGGAAAATAGCGGTTCTACTTTTGTTTCGAGGATTTTTGGTATTCGAGTTGCATCTTCGGATCGGCATTTTTGTATTTTCATTTCCTCCGAACGAGAACTTTCCATATTCAATCGTAATTAACGTCACGATAATTACGACAATTAATGTCACGAGATGACATTTAACAAATTTCTAATATATCTGGAAAATATATAATAACATCACATTTGACATAGGAATTGTGAACAATTTAACTATTATACTTTGCCCTTTTCAGAATAAAATATTTTAATTGCCACAAATATTAATTAATCCCCGAATAATAAAACAAATAGAATTTATATTAAATTAAATATACAGATATCCCAGTTTGAAATGGAATATTTATAAAATATAGATGAATAATTATTTACATATTTAAAAGATGCATTTTTCAATCTTCATTTTAAACAATCATCATAATTTTATTCATATACATAAAATATATCATTTTAAAATATGTGTATTATAATATATGTTATAATCACATGATATATAATATTAAATTAAAGCATAATAAAATATAAATAAAATTTGTATTAAAAAAGTATTATTTTAAAATATTTTAAAATATGTCACAATAGAACATAATAAAATATAACTAATAATTAATTATGTAACAGTTATTGTTATATAATTATAAAAAATATAATTATTATTTTAAACACTTATTTAAATTTCTTACTTATTTTATTAAAAAATATAATAATTATTTTAAGATTAAAATAATATATCTTCAATAGAAGTGAGAATGAAGAGGCCTGAAAGTGCCCTCTTCGGAACAAATGTCTATGAGTCTGCGTTGTATTCTAACCTTCAAAGCACGGTGGGTGTTTTGCGGACCATCGCGCGCTGGACCATCATGGTATAGATCTAAATTCTTAGCGTCAGCCTCGACGAATTCACATGTTAACATTTCATATAACGGACAGATTAATCATATATTCGCACGAGCCACAACGTGTCTTCGCGTTGTTCGCGTGCGTCCGGAGAATCGCAAACTGCATCCTCGATCGCAGTTTCTAGGCAACGTGGTCGATCGATTCGGCAGAATTCCAGCGAATCCCTCAGCTGAATTGGCGAAAGGATCATTCTCGCGATCACATATCTCTTTTCTCTTCAGCGAGAAATAATCCTGAATCTCGCTGGGCAATTCCTTTTCCTTTTTTAGGTTATGTCCCAAGAAGCACCTGTGTCTCGATCGTCGCGATAGCCTGAAAACTAGAACGACACAAAGTATCGCAATGTAATTTCGCGATTTTCACGAGCGTTATTTTACGACTTGACTTTTCCTAAGTGGCCAATTTTGTTTCCGTATTTGTTAAATGGAAGTTATCGTGACTTTGCAATGTAGCTAGTTGCTCAGACTTCATATTTTCATGTATTTAATGACTTATTATTTAAAAAAATAATATTTTGATATCTTCTAGATGATTCCAGCACAGATATTCCGCTTGATTCACATAAACGGCCTGCTCTGGCAGGCTACAAATAAGTCTCTATTGGCTAAGCTGCGTAAAAAGACCGGCTATACTTTTGCAAACTGCAAGAAAGCTCTGGAGCTACATGAAAATGATATAACGAAGGTAGAAGGCATACTATGATTGTTTCAAGCAATGTACCATATAACTTTAATTGACTTATGATGGAATCTCTTAGTCTTTTTTTGTTCCAGGCTGAGGCATGGCTGAAAGAACAGGCACAACAGTATGGTTGGACTCAAGCAGCCAAGCTGAAGGGTCGTAATACCGGTCAAGGTCTGATCACGATGACAGTAGACGGGCGTCATGCTGTGTTGGCCGAAATCAATTGCGAGACTGATTTTGTAGCGCGGAATAAGAAGTTCCATTGTCTTGCGGAAACAGTGATCTCTACTGTGCTGAATCATGTGAGATCTCAGGAGATTCAAAACGAAATACAGCGGACTGTTTTCCATGCAGATAGTCTCAAAGTACTCACAGCTATGGATGGCAAGCTTTTGAGTGATCATTCCGCTTTGACCATTGGCAATGTAGGTGAGAACATTAGTTTGAAACGTGCTCTGGTCATCAGCGTACAATCGCCAGACGTAAGGCTGTTTGGATGCACACATCCAGCTCCAATGAATCCAATACCTGTATCCTTCGGCAAATATGGTGCTCTTGTGGCTATTAAATGCAAGGAGAACGATGAAATGCTGGGTACACGACTTTGCCAGCATATCATCGGTAAGTTTCATTTATCGCGAAGATGTATGGACTAAAAAAAAAGAAAATCGATACAATTGTTTCTTTATAGGAATGGATCCACAAAAGATTGGAAACCCACGAGTGGACGAACCACACAACAATATGGACGAAGAGCAGTGCATGATTTATCAGGAATTTCTGCTTGATCCTAGTCTTTCCGTACAACAGTTACTTGCGGAAGCGCAAGCCGAAATTGTCGACTTTGCACGTTTCGAGATCGGTGAGGAAGTTGACGAAGAGCCGACGCTGAAAAACGCTCAAACTTGCGGCTAATGTTGTAACTTCTGTGACTAACCTGTGATTATTTCACATTATCACTAATATTAATTTTTATTCTGTACGAAAACAATAGTTGTCGCTTGCGTTATGCATTTGAAGAAACGAAGATATGTTTGAAAAAAAACTTCTTAAATTGTCACTTTTAGGAATGAACGTTTGAAAGAAAGGGAATAGTTCAATCAATATCAGTGCTATGTACAATATATTATGTTATTTTAATAAAATTGTAACACACCTAGCACGCGTAAAAAATCTAAATCATTTTATTTATCCTTTTTAAAATAATAAGGCATCTTGAGGCTTTTGTTTTCTCATTGCAACCAATAGAATTTTTATTGTAGCAGAATCAAGAAATTTCTTCTTATTTATTTGTACATATTTTTTTTAATATTTTTATATTTCTTTTTTATTTTATTTTTTATTTTTGAAAAGTGAAAAATTGTATACGCAATTTGATCAATGTTGTCTGAATGTTAAATTGTATTACGGTTTTGTGGATTACTATCACGTTTATGAACTGTTATTAATGCCAACAATTTGAATAAATTTTATCGTGACGATCATCGCTATCAAGTTGCTTCTCATCCTGATAAAGTAAACTGCAATATCACGAAATGTTGACATTAACAATAGTTCATGACATGATGATAACCTGCAAACTACAAAACAATTTTAAAAGAAATATCCGTGAAAGTCTTGATGGTATAATTGTCTAAATATTAAAATTTAATCGAATATAAAATGAT